GAATGTGCACCACTCTGGCCAGTTTACCAGGCTGGAACAGCCAGCTGAGGCTCAGGTCTCCAAGGAGGCAGCAGAGGAACCCCAACCTGGTGGGGAATCAACTCCTGTGCACCGACCTTTCAGCCCAAAGGCACTTGCAATGCGTGCAGGCAGAGCTGCTACTGACCTCTGTTCGGGCAGCGCGCACATCTCCGCGTAGTACTTGATCTTTGGTTCTGTTCCACTTGTCCGAAGGGTGGCAACACAACCGTTTTGAAATGTGAAAGTGATCATCTGACTGCTTTTACTCACGGGCAGCACCTATACAAACAACAGCATTTTATTACAGAACATCCCAACTGACACAAACGTGGGGGTTTTTAACGTTTGGTTGGTTTGGTTTTGGGGGGTTTTTTTTCACCCTAAATACAATATTCAGTAAAAGCTAAACAAACATGCTGAAATCCCCCACACAATATATATACACCAGCTGGTGCAGCAGACTAGAGCAAGTAATTTCAGCCTAACAGACAGGCCTATCACCTAGATCAGACTCTGTATTTCAGGATAACGGAACTGCGTCGTACTCCCATTTGAGTTCCAACATCTGGAAGCCCGCTAGGCATCTTAAGAATTGCAGGAACATCAAGCTCACTTCAACTAACAAAGCTTAGTCATTGTTATATCAAAATATATATATTTTGTGATATCAAAAATAGATATATATAAAAATATATGGTCAACACCACAGCCAAGCCATTTCACAGTTCAGCAGTTTTCTTCCCAGCAAATGTTGTTAAGCGGTTTTAATAAATGATTGTAATTACACTGCCATCTTAGTTGACACAGTACATCTTTCTGCATAGTTCTTGGCGTATTTAACTTCCAGTCTCTTCAAAAACCAAACCTCTCCTGCAAAAATACTTGGTAACTCACCGATTTCTTGTTTGGCTGGCTGCTATCATAGCCAGTGGTAATGTCTCGTACATGTAATATATTGTAAATGCCACACGAGCTTGGATAAGACTGAGGGCCATCAAAGTTCCGAAGCTTCTCAAATATCCTTTTGATAGTCGGAGGCTCATAGCACAAGAAATAGGAAGTCTTTGATATGTGATATCCATACCTACAAGCAGATTAACATTTTCAGTTACAAGATTCAGAAGTTTTCTGGACATTTGGTACCTAAAGAAAGGCCCTGTTTGGAAAAACAATAACAGAAACAGAATGCTGTTCTCACAGCTGTGGAAATAGATATTTGTAGGCAAATGTTTGGACTCTGGAGCAGATTTCACTGCATTACTCAGATCATCTTAAGCTACTTTTAAATTCGAGCAAAGGTTTCAGACCCAAAGAAATAAAAGGCAACCATTTGGCTAAGCACAGCCTTGGCGGCCCTCAGGAAATGAATATGCAGTATCACTCCCACACCATCAGAAATTGTCTGCCACAGCCATGTGAGCAGCCACAACAACACATTATTTCAACAGCCTTTGAGGAAGGCGACTGATTATTTCATCCAAGTTAAAGCTATTATCCCCGACCAGACCTAAAGAAAGCACTCAGTGCAGCAACCACGTTTACACGTTGAAATTCAGGTTGTTCTTTGCTATATTCCACCCACTCCTCATTCTGCAGAGGCTTTTCCCTGCAGCTGAAAAAATTAAGTGTGACTGGAAGATGAATCCTGTTATCATCATCACCAACAGCTTTTCAATCCAGCCGTGCAGAATTGTTTCTGCTACAGTTTGCACACGACAGAGCGAACTCCCGAGTGCCACAAAGAGACAAATCACAGAATCACAGAATAGTAGGGGTTGGAAGGGACCTCTGTGGGACATCTAGTCCAACCAATTGTTTCTGCTACAGTTTGCACACGACAGAGCGAACTCCCGAGTGCCACAAAGAGACAAATGCTGGCCATCATTTGTGCTTCCTCGTTCCAGGCTGCTAAGGGCCACAGTCTGTATGTCTGCTGGGCCATCAGGAAGAAGAATGATGTATATGGTTTGCTGTAACTGCACTGGTAATCCCATTAAAGCACAGGAAATTCTGCTGATGAGCTGGGCTTATCACAGCATGACTTCTAATCCTGACACCTACACGTTCCTCATTTTATTGCTGTGAATGGCATCTATAGCTATTGCACACTGGCTGCTCCTCTAACCTCTGTCCTACTACTAATCTCTGCAAGAACAGCACGCGATCTTCTAACAATCCGCAGACGGTGTTTAAATGAAAATAATAAGTGTTTAAAGAGAGCCACACAGACCACAACTCAGCCACCCATCAGAAGATAAGAGAAGTAGCACAGCATGAATCAAGCAAGAGAGAAAAGTTTGCCCTGGTGTATCACAGAATCACAGAATAGTAGGGGTTGGAAGGGACCTCTGTGGGTCATCTAGTCCAACCCCCCTGCCCAAGCAGGGTCACCCACAGCAGGCTGCACAGGACCTTGTCCAGGCGGGGCTGGAATATCTCCAGAGAAGGAGACTCCACAGCCTCCCTGGGTAGCC